CCGAGCCTGGCCCTCCTGCTTGCCACTGCCAAGGGACTGTGGCAAGGCAGCTGTTTCTAAATATTTGTTTGAGTTTTCTGGAAGCTCCTTGAAGTTGGAATGGAAATGCCTGCCCAGTAGTTCTGAAATGGCTTCCCTGCCATCCCAGGTCTGGCCCCAGTGGCACTCCCCAAGGAAGTAAACAGGCTACAGTTCTGAGGATCTGCATGGGCCACACTGCTGGGATTGTTGGGTGCCACCAGCCTGAGGCTGGGCACAGAGGCTGACTTGGGCCCTGCAGAACCTGAGTGTTCACCTAGGTGCCTCAGATAGGCCAGCTCAGGGTGAGGGAGCCCCAAGATCCAGGCCAGGAAGCCAAAGGTATTTTATGTTACCTTAGAAATACCAGGAGGCTTCCTGGAGTGGGCTGAGCCTGGTGGTCAAGACACAAGCAGGCTGGGAGGCTGCCTGGTTCCCCATCGTGTGGCTACCATGCCTCAGCTTCATTAGCTGACAAAGCAGCACTCTGTCCTCACCAGCCACAGATGGAGGAAGACGCAGCTGTTAGAAGCATCCAGGTTGCTATCCCAGTACCAGGGTCATGGCCAGGATGGCTTGAGGGTGCCTTCCCTTCTCATCACATCCTCTGAGGGAGGACTGTATGGACCTGAAGGGGCAGCTGGTACTCAGCTCAAGCCAATGGTTGCCATGTGGGGATTTGGACCTGGGTTGCCAGATTTTCCAGAGGGGCTGGAAATCTAGATTCTTTTTGTGAAAGTTCTCAATTTTTTAAATTCTTTAAGATATTATGCAGGCTCAACTGTGCACATCTGCAGGCCAGACTTGGTCATTTGGCTACTGTGTAATGACCTCTGCTCTTGACCTTCAGAATCCAAGGGCACCTAAGCAATCTAAGGTATCCCATGCCAGTGGTGGGATGGGGATGGGATGAGAGAAGGTGTGAGAACAGACATCATAGACCACAGGCAAAAGGGAGAAGAACTCTCCCCCATAAGGGCAGGAAATGCTCTAATTCTTCTTGGTTCTTGCCTGCCATCTTGGCACAGATACAGAGACAGGAGGAGATGGGTATGATTTTCAAAACTTTGAGCCTGTTCCTCTCTGAAGCCTCATACTATTCTGTTGATTCAGCCATGAGGTATCTTTATGAGGAGGTTCTTTCTCCCTCCTTCCTTTCCTTTTCAGTCCATGGCTTCCCCCATCATAGGTCCTTGGTGGCAACCAGAGACCTCCTCCTGGGAGGTTATGGCCAATGGTAAAGCCGGTGGCCGACCAATCAGATAACTGATCGCATTGGTAGGAATCAGCAGCAATGTAGCATAGGGGAGAAAAGACAAACTTTGGGGTAGGCCAACCTGGATTTAATTCAACTCTTTGCCTTACTAGATATATGATCTTGAGCAAGTTACTCAACCTCCCTGCAACTCAGTTTCCCACCTGTGGAAAATAGGGATAATAATTCCTTCCTGGCAAGGGTTAAATGAGAATATACACAAAAAGCACCTAACACAGTGCCTGACATGCACTGTTGTTGTCAACTGCCATGAGGTTGGCCCCATTCACCATGTTGTGATCCACAGGGTTTTCACTGCTGATTTTCAGAAGTAGATCACCAGACCTTTCTTCCTCATTTGCCTGAAAGCTCTGCTGAAACCTTTTTAGCAGCATAGTGGCTAAAGCACTTGACTGCTAACCAGAAGGCTGGCAGTTCAAACCCACCAGCCACTCCTCGGAAGGAAGGTTGGGCAATCCTACTTCCGTAGTGATACTGCCTCAGAAACCCAAGGAGGGGTCGCTATGAGTCAGGGCCAACTCGACGGCACACAACAACAACAACAACAGTAACATACAAGCCTCCACTGACTGATAGGTGGTGGTTACATGTGAAGTGCACTGACTGGGAATCAAACCCAGGTCTCCCACATGGAAAGCAAAAATTCTACCATTGAACCACCACTGTCCCCATGCCTGGCATGTAGTACGAAAACTGAAAACTGAACTCACTGCCTTCAAGTTGATTCCAGTTCAAGCACCAATGATTAGTAGCAGCTGATCTCCAACATCTCGATTTGAATTTGTATTAGAAGATACAATGCCAGTTCTAAACAACCAACTTGCAAACATACTTTTGGAACAGAAACAAGTTGGCTGCCATCTTTACATGCATTATAGATTTATGTCTATTTCATCTTTTAGTACCATGTCTTTCAAACAGAATCATGGTGGATTAGAAGGTAATAATGTATGGATGAAGTAGCTTCCAGCTTTACTTCACTGCCTTTCACTCTTCTTCTCCTCTCATTTGGCCTTCCTCCACCTACTAGGACCTTTACTCTAGTCTCCTGTGTTCACTGATTCATCAGTCAACAAACATTCATTGAGCAGGGAGACTCTTTGCTCTGGAGAGACTGATACCAGTGAGAGAGGCAAATGTGTGTGTGGATAATTGCAGCAAGGGCTAGTATGAAAGGAGGGCCAGGGTGTTGGAGATGACTGGTATCTTGCTTTGCCAGTCCCAGACCACTGCTGTCAATGGAGCAAGTAGTAGAAGACCATGTCTTCCCTTGGTGAGGGTGGCCTCCCTCCCAGGAAAGTGAGGCACTGAGGCTGCTACCCAGCAACCACTCAGGCAGGTCCCCATGGCCCTGAGAACCAGCCTCCTGGTCCCCATACCCAGCTTCAGGAGCAGTTGGTTCATGGGCGGAGACTTCCTGTTCTTGTGGGACCCCTGTCCCTGCCCCACCCTGCCCCTTCCTAGATAAGCTGCAGCTGCTTTGGGGCCCCTCTGCCTGAGCTCCTCCTTCCCCTTCTTCACCCTGTGTCCCTCCTTCCCCTTCCCGTGCCCCTGTCCTAACGTCATGGTGGATCCCAGGGAAAATACCTGGCAAAGCTCAGGCCAGGAGCAGAGGCCATTAAAATAAGCCAGATACCAGGATGAGTGGGCAAGAGGGGGTAGCAACAGCTGCAGCTTCTCTTCCAGATTTAGCCAGGTGACAGATTTGCCCCACTCCTTCCTCCTAGGCTTTTTGGGTGGACATTGTCTCCTGCCCTGAAAACCACCCCTAGGAAGACTCATGGGGCTGTGGCAGCCCAAGGAGGAATTTCTGCTTGTTTCAGTTGAGGCTTGTTTAAGCCAGTTAGGCCTGACCAGCTGCTCCACAGTGGACTGGGACCAGGGCCAACTGGGGCTGGCTGACTCCTTCCTGTGTCCCCACCTCTCCCTCAGGCTCTGACATCCCCAGGGAACGTGCCTGGTGACAGAAGATAGTGTAGAGTGGAGTGACTCAGCTATTCCCAGACTTCATGGGTGCTGGAATCTGCCTGAGGCTGCTCTAGAAATCTCTAAAGGCTGGGGCAAGGGGCAGGAGCAAGAACCAGCTGGGCAGGTGGCTGAGGGTAGGTGAACATGATATGGCCCAAGACTGTTGTGCAAATGAATGAGGCTCAGAACCCCAGGACCCAGCATTACCACACTCCATTCTTTTTATTTTTTAAGTGCTAGGAGGACCCCCCAAGAAGGCCTGGTGGCACAATGGTTAAATGCTCAGCTGTTAACTGAAAGGTCAGGGATCCAATCCCACAAGTGGGTCTGTGGGAGAAAAGATCTGGTGATCTACTTCTGTAAAGATTAGGGGAAAAAAAAAAAAATGCACTGCCGTCGAGTCGTATCCGACTCATAGCAACCCCTCCTTGGGTTTCTGAGGCGACATCCCTATGGAAGTAGATTGCCCAACCTTCCTTCCGAGGAGTGGCTGGTGGATTTGAACTGCCAGCCTTCTGGTTAGCAGTCAAATGCCTTAAGCACTAACTAGAAAACCCTACAGGGCAGTTCTACTCTGTTATATATGGTCACTATGAGTCAGAATGGACTCCATGGCACACACCAACAACAACCACCACTACAGGAGGACCCCAGATTAGCTAGTTCAAGTGTCCCTAAATAGGAATGATTTGCAAAATTATTTTAAGTGGATACACGGAAAGCAAGTCATAGGTTCCCTATAGGACAGAGTGGAACTGGCCCCTAGGATTTCCAAGGATGTAAATCTTTACAGAATCAGATTGCCCCATCTTTCTTGTACAGAAAGACTGGTGAGTTGGAACCAGTGACCTTTTGGTTAGCAGCCAAGTGTTTTAACCACTATGTGACCAGAACTCCTTACATGCTTTAAAGTACTCTCTTAATTTAGCCCTCACAGTAATACTCATCTTTGCTGTACAGGTGAGAATATTGAGGCTCGGGGGGGTGGGGCTAAATGACTTTTTCAAGGGCATATGGAAAAGAAGTGGCAGTGGTGGATTTTTTTTAAATAATAACTTTATTGAGATATAAATAATATACCACAAAATTTACCCTTTTAAAATGTATAATTCAGTGGTTTTTAGTATATTCACAGCATTGTGCCACTGTCAATAATGTCTGGATGTGTCCAACCAAGCTCATCTTCTTCTTGGGACAGTGGTGGTCATGGGTTCCTAGACCAACAGGTCTGTTGAATGTCGTAATGATAGTAACCACCACACTAAATAGCATTTACTGTGCATGTATATGGCAGGCTGCTGAACAATGACATGGCTACATACGGGGTTCAAGCATGCCATAAGCCAGGCACCTAGCTACGGCCTTCAAACTTACTCTCTCATTTACTCTTTACAAGAACCCTGGGGCAGACACTGTTACTATTCTTTGGGGGAGAAGGAGGGACAGTGCATAAAGGATAGCTCATAGTGGGGCTCTCAGCTGTCTGAATGGCCATTCCCAGTCCTGCCTGGTGATTAACAGCATGGAAGCTGACTCAACCCTTTTTTCAGAAACTTGGGTGGGAGCAAGTAAGGCCTATCTGCTGAAGGTTCTGATGCCACTGGCTAGGAAAGAACTTGGACAACAAGACCGAGGCTGAAATGAAAAACAAACTTCCTGAGCATAAGTATGAAGTTCTATGTCTTGGTTCCACAGCTCAGCTGCAAGTTTTAATGCCTGATAAGCAATGTTTTTGAAGGCTGTGATGGTTCAGTGGTAGAATTCTTGCCTCCCATGAAAGAGGCCTGGGTTTGATTCCCAGTCAGTGCACCTCCTGCGCAGCTACCACCTGTCCAGATGCTTGCATGTTGCTATCAGGCTGAACAGGTTTCAGGGGAGCTTCCAGACTATGTACTAGGAAGAAAGGCCTGGCAATTATTTCCAAAAAATTAGCCAATGAAAACCCTATGCACCACAATGGTCTGATTGCCAAGGGTTGATGGCAGCTGGCAACAAAATCATTGATGGCAGGTGAAAAGACTGGAGGCTGAAGTCTGTAGTTTCCCTTTGCTGGCACTGTACTAGAAGCCCTGAGGGCATTTTTTAAAATATTGACTCTTGGGTCTCATCCCAGAATTTACAGAATCAGATCTCCCAGGGAGTTCTCTTGGGAATTTGTATGTTTCAAAAGTGCCCCAGGTGGTTCTTACGTAGTTTTAGAAACTACTGACTGGTGAACTTCAGGCTCCATGGGAATAAAAATACCATCGATAAAGCAAACAGGAGGCTTTCAGGGCTGCTGTGGAGTCTGGCTCTCTCCTAGCTATGCCAGCAGCAACTCAGGACCCCTATGTACAGAGAGATAGTGGAGTTGCCACCGCCATGTGGACCAAGAGCCCCAATCAGCTCCTTCATTGCTATGCCACCTGGGAGTAGGACACTCAGATATTTCTCTCCCTCTCCCCTCTAGCAAGATGTCTTGGATTGAAGCTGCAGTTTGTGGCTGGGATGATCCTAGACATCCAAGACAGTGGGCAGCAATGCTACTGTTCTGGTTACCTAGTACCGCTCTGATAGGAATATACCACAAATGAGATGGCCTTAACAAACTGGAGTTTATTCTCTTACAGTTTGGAGGCTTTAAGTCCGAGTTCAAAGTGCCAGGCACTAGGGGCTGGGTGAAAGCCCTTCAACCTTGGGTTTCAGCTCTGCCTCCTGCTCCCAGCCCACTGGAGCTAAAGGCTTTTCTTCACCCAGACAGCTGCTGGCTGCTGAGACTGACAAGCCCAAGGTTGACAAGTAAAAAGGCACAATCCCGATGTTACGAAACCACATGGCAGGCCATTCATTCAAGTCCATTGAAAGTCCCAAGATCAGCAGAGCATGGCAGGCTGCTGAACAATGACATGGCTACATACAGGGTTCAAGCATGCCATAAGTTAGAGACCATCCCCCAAGGCTTCTCCTTATATACAGGAAGCAGATCACATCCCTTAGGCAGCTTCTCAACTGCTCACAGTAGATTCCACCATGGAGTTGATTACCATTCTCATCATGAGGAATACTACAGCCAGTTGCCCAGCCACTCAACCAGGCCCAGCCAAGTTGACACACAAACTGAGCTACCACAGCTACCAAGAAGATGGGTACTCACACCATATGGTCAGATGACCAATGTTGAGACCATCTTCTCCCAGCATGGCAAAACCTTGGGCAGGTTATAAAGACCTGGTATTTGTTTAGAACATTAAAGAGTAAAAGGATGGTGAGGGATGGCAAAGTGATTGCTGGTCAGGTTGATGTTAGCCACTGTTGTGTTGGGCCCAACTCACAGCAACCCCATGCACAGCAAAGCAAAACACTGTATGGTTCCGCTCCATCCCCATATCGGTTGTGGATTGGATCATTGTGCTCCACAGGATTTTCACTGACTGATACTCAGAAGTAAATCACCAGGCCTTTCTTCCTAGTCTGTCTGCTGAAACCTGTTCAGCATCATAGCAACACACAAGCTCTGACTGACAGATGGGTGATGACTGCTCATGAGGTGCATTGGTCAGGAAGTAGATGTTAGTCTTGCCCAGCCAAGATGTTTTAAGGGCAGCAGGAGTGACACAGTGAGCTGTGGAGACACATGACTCTTCCTGGGAGTGGCTCTGTGACTTTCTGTGAGATGATGAAGTCACGATGCACGGCTTTCCAGCATGTGTACTGGCCCCTCCTCAAGTGCCTCTCACAGGCATAAGGAGGCCTTTATACCCAAGAGTAGGTTCCAGGGCTCTGCACTAAATGTGGCAGGTTGACCAGGGATGACTTCAGAGCTTTAAGAAGGAGATGCCCCAGATAAAGCAGACAGTGAATTCGCAAGTTACTGGAGTGCCTGGAGAAAATAAGAGAGGGTGCCCTGCAGGACACTTCCTGGCCTGGGGCGGCTGGCCTTGGAGCAATGTCAATTTCTCTATTTTGGCCTTGACACCTGGACTCCATCAGCCTTTTTCCTATACTCCATAGGTCTGAGGAAGGCACTGATGAGAGGTTAATTCCTGGACAGCTGCCCTCAGCTGCTTCTGCCTTGTACTCTGACACCTTGGGTTAGCCTCATACAACCTACTTGACACCTTTTAACACATTTCCAGACCTTTTGGCTGGGGAACAGCTGATGGGGCTGGGCAGAGCCCCATTGGGCCAAGACCTCAGCCCACGGAGACTTTTCTCCCTGGCCTGTAGTCGCTGGCACTTCTAAGGAGAGAGATGGAATTCAGTTCATATCATCCTCTTTATGGGTACTCTCTCAGGGTTATTCTTCCAATGGGCAACAACAGGAAAGGGAGGAAACTGCCTCTAGGTGCTTGAAGGGGACTTCCTTGGAGAGTTAAAGCTGCCTGGAGCCTGTGGAAGCATGGCTATGTCAGAGCTGCTGGCAGCAGGGAAAGGTGAGCACCTGGCTGAGCAGGTGGTGGGCCTAGATGGCAGCCAGCTGCAGGTGCTGGACTGCAGGCTCCTCTTGTCTGGGTGGGGACTTCACAGCCTTCAACAGCTTTGCTGGCCAAAAGGGTAAAACCTGATGGGAAGGGACTCCTAATGGGAAGAAAGGGATATAGGAGGCTGTGTCCCCAGCTTCTGAAAGCAAGACTAGGCCTGCCATGTGGGGTGCAGTTCCCTAAGAGGGCCAAGTTGAATCTGCTCTGTACTCCCAGGACCCTGGCCTCAACCTTCTCATAGTCAGTAAGTCTCCCTGATGAGGTCATACCCTGCCCAGTAGACTGAGGGACTTCCTTAACCTGTCTTCAGCCCCGACCTCTCTCTTGATCCCTGGACCTACCTACACAACTTCCCACTGTACGTCTATACTTGGACTTCCCATGGCATCTCAAGTTTAGCAGGGGCTTCTAGCCAGCTATGAAATCTGCTCACCATTCTCGTGGCAAATAGTCCAAGAGAATAACATCTATCTCAGCCATAAATTCCTGAGTCATTCTGGTCTCCTTCCTTTTTCTGAGCCCTCCAAATAGCATCAGCTAGACTACCAGTTCTGCAAGTGACCTAAGTGATCTTGGATCAGTCACTTCACCAATGCTGGTTCCAGTTTTCTCATAGGCCAGAAGAGCAAGGTGGATTGGAGGATCATGAAAGAAAGCTAAGGTTTCTCTTAATTTGAAATTCACGTGTGGTTAAGTGGCATGAGCAAGAGAGAGAAGACAAGAGAGAGCAAGAAAGTGAACCAGGAAGTGAGTAACCCACTGGGGTTATTAAGGAAATTCTCAAAGATGAGGCATAATTGAAATAAGATAAAGTAAACAACATATATGAACACATTGGAAGGAATTCCAGGCATGACGAAGCTGAGCAGGCAAAGGTAGAAGCAGAGTAAGCAAGTATTTCTTGAGAGACTGAAGATAGCCCATTCTGTCTGCTACATGCTATAGATGAATTAGCATTGCGTTTGATGAGTTAGGCAGGGGCCACATTCTGCCAAGCCATCAAGAATTTGAAAGTGATGATGGTAGGGAAGGGGCAGCACTGAAGGCTTTTGAGCAAGAGCACAGCTTAATAAATATGTCATTTGGGAAGATTCCATTGGGAAGGTGGGCCAGAGAGAGAAAAACACACCAAGACAGTCACCAACATAACTTCCACTTTTACAGCTCAGGGATATTGATGATATTTTTCATGTTATGCCACCATTACTGCTATCCTTTTCCAAAATATTCTACTACCATTAGCATAAACTTAATGCCCCACAAACAAAAGCTTTCTCTTTTCCCCTCCCTCCTACTCCTGGTAACCACTAATTATCTTTGGTATATACAATTTCCTTCCATGTATAAACCTTTCCTTGACTTTTTACAATAGTGGACACATACAATAGTTGTCCTTCTGTGATTGACTTATTTCATTCAGCATTATTGTCCTCCAAGTCCATACATGTTTTTTTTTGGTGTGTGTGTTTTTTTTTTTTTTAATTTTAAACAGTTTTAGGTTTACAGTAGAGAAGATTATACAGAGGAGATCATCTATCCCCCACCCAGTTTTCCCTATTAATAGTAACAACTTATGTTAGTGTGCTACATTTGTTACAATTAATAAACCAATATTGATACATTATTATTAACTATACAGTCCATACTTCATTCAGATTTCCTTAGTTTTTCCCTAAACTCCTTTTTCTGTTCCAGAATCCCATCCAGGATACAGCACTACATTTACTTGTCATATCTCCTTAGGGGCCTCTTAGTTGTCACAATCTCTAATATTTTCCATCATCTATATCTCTTTATTTATGAATCTATCTTTAACTGTATCTATCTATCTGTCTATATATGTTTTGTTCTGTTCTGTTGCCATGAGTTGCAGCCAACTGTATGCAGCTAATAACAAGTTCATCCATGTTATGTGGTGTTTTGCAGATTCTACATTATTCTTTAGTGTTGCATAGTATTCCATTGTGTGTATGTACCACAGTTTGGTTATCCATTCCTCTGTTGATTGGCACTTGGTTGTTTCCATTTCTTTTCTATTGTGAATAGTGCTGCAGTGAACATGGGTGTGCATATATCTATTAGTGTCCTGGCTCTTGCTTCTTTAGTGTATATACCTAATAATGGGATTGCTGGATCAGATGGTATTTCTAATTCCAACTTTATAGGGAATCGAGGTGGTAGCTTCTTTATCAGTGTCTTCTTTTTACTATTCCTAAAAGACAGGTGGGAGCTCTGGTGGTGTAGTGCCTAAGGCATTTGACTGCTAACCAGAAGGCTGGCAGTTCAGACCCACCAGCCACTCCTCAGAAGGAGGATTGGGCAATCTACTTCCATAGAGATACCACTTCA